AGTGGACTATGAATGTTAACCAGGACTCTGTTCATAGTGATGAAGTCAAGAGTTACTTAATCTTATTAGTGTCATACGCTCATTTTAATAAGAACTGACAGCATTAATAAAGATCCATTTATGAAGAGAATGAATTTTATGTTGTCATTTTTCCCCACTGGAGGTGCAATTTGATAATAACCCCCAGCTTTCAGGGACTTTATAGTTATTAGCATTTGACTGTCATCTCTTTTGCTTTTTAGCACAGATCAAAAATGTTAATCTGCACATCAAGGAACTCAGAGAATATAAAATCAGGTTATCTTAAAAATGAAAGGGTGAAAGTAAAATTTTATTTTATAGTTGAAAGAATGAGAAAATCACAATATTTAAACTGTCCTGAACCTCTTAGGGGCAGCTATGCTTTCTAAAACAGTTAAGTATGTTGTTTGTTACAGCATATTCTGCCTGCAGTAGCACTAATGAATCTGATAGCACACACCACGTTGAGCTATGGTTACATAAGATAAAAAAAATTAATTCCTTCAGAATAATAAAATCTGTTTGCTCTTTGTCTTCACAGTATATTGTTTTCTGCCTCGTTTTTGGCAATTTAATTCGATTAATAAATCTAATGGTAGGTGAGAGTTTCACAATTTGAATTTTCTAATCCCAGCTTTTAAAACAAATCTTACTCTAACCTTACATAAATGCAAGCTGTTGATCAACAGGGAAGATGTTTAGCTCTCATTTAGTTCTAAAAGTAAAGACCAAATATATCTTGTTTTAAATGAAATAGAAACAAGGGCACAAAATCTTGACTATATGAAAAGACTGCCCAAGATTCAATTTTATTTGAGGTTGAAGGAAAAGATAAGGACACTTTCTAGGATGGGCAAAAACGGGTGAGGATTGTTAGTGGGCTCACAGTCTGAAAAAAACTTCATCTTCAGGCTCTGTCAGCACAAACTGTCAACCTTTGAAACGTCGTCATGCTTGCCTCAAGGAAAATGATCAACACACTGTCGTTGGCTACTGTAGAAATATTACTACTGATATATGTGAGATAAGATGGAAATCTGAAGAAGAAAATGAAGACATATGTAAATCATTACACAAACTAATTTCCCCTGAGTTCCAACCATGGGAAGTAGTAGGTCCCTGTGGTTTATACCCATATCAGATTGGGTGCTTGAAGTTTATTTGTATGTGTGAAAATATTGGTTTCCTGTCAACAAGACTTGGAATATGAAAAAAAATGATTTATAAATAACAGGCCATAGAATAATAAAGAGAAAGTTAAAGAGATATTGTAATTTCCTATTTCTAGCCAATAGCTCAGTCAAATACTTCAAGGGCTCAATGGAATATACATATTAGATAGAGGATAGAGAGACATAGATAGATAGATAAATAGATGCAGATACATGTTTATAGACTATAAAATATATTAAAAGCATCTATAATATTTATATAAATATATTTTAATTATTCATATTTAATAAATGATATATTTGTGATACATAAAATATGTATATTTATAATAATTAAAATAGCATAAACACATATATACACACATATCTTTAGCATAGGTAGTCCAAATTAAGGGAAATTATATCATAATATCATGGGGAAGTTTCATTATAGCATGCCTTCACTTGAAACACAGGAAAAGAGCAGATTTCACATCTGGACATTTTTTAAAGTGGCAACCAACATCACAAACTTTCATAGATGAATCTTTTGTCCTTTAGAGAGTAACTTAATTTCTTAAAAAGTTGAAAATTAATCTTGCAAAGATCATAGACATAAATTTAATCTTAATTTTCTTTCTACAAAGCAGAATCATTTGGCAATCACTTCATTCTTTAATCCCTCAATTTTTTTAATTTCTTCTTTTTCTTTTTTCTTTTTTCTTTTTTCTTCTTCCTTCCACTTACATTGTGAACTTGCTGTGATCCTCACCCTCAAACTTACCTGTTCAGTCAAATCTAAAAGTCAGAAGACCTTATTCTGGTTTGCAATTCTATCATTTACTAGTCATATGATCCTAAGCAAAATAAAATATTACTCTGAAATGCATTTTCCAAATATCTTTAATGTGGAATAATGTTTTCCTTGTTCATGCCAAAGCATAGGTAACACCATAAAAAATGAAATTAAATCCTTAAAAAAAGAAATTAAAATATTTATATAAGAAAGTTTTGAAGACGAATGTTCTAAGTTTTAAGCATTATGCTATTTTGTATTTATATATACTTTAGATAGATTTAATAAATCTTTTCTATCACTGTCTTTATTTTCAGTTCATTAATATAGAATTGTCAATAACAATACTCCTTCATTTGTAAACTGACCTATTTTTCCTTTGAATTTTTCTCCGTATCTCCCCCTTATCTTCCTTTGCTATCTGAACAATTCATATAAATTTTGTATTTCCCCAGTTAGGATAAACTGTAATTTTGCTAGTCTTGTCTATTCAACAAAAATAGAACAAATTAATATTAAGTAAGTTCTCATCCTATTCTTTCAGACAGAGGGTCTTTTAAAATGAAATTTACATTTGGCCTACTTACCTTCAAATTATAACATTTATTAAAGTTTGTGGATGAATCATAACATGTTTTCTTTTCTTTTTATTTAATCTTCCTATCACCCCAGCATCCATTCCCCTTTCATGACAAGACCTTTTTCTAAGTCAAAGTTCACTCAGTTAACATTGCCCTTGTTATGGCCCTCTGCATGCCTGGGGCTATGTTTTATGTTTCATACTTATTATTTTTAAAAAGCAGTCAGGACAGTATTTGTCCATGGACCATACAAATGCCCCAGTACTTTAGGTACATCATATAGCTCGCTTTTGCTTTATCACACATTCTAAGGTAGAATGAAATTTTAGAGCATGTCTATTTCTAAGACTCATCTAAGAACCTCTGCGAGCCTTTTTTTGTCATTTGCTGACAATATTTCAAAGGAATTCAGATGAAAACACATTTTTAACAAAGCTAAAATTTTGCTAGTAGGTTTACTTGTTTTTTGTTAAGCAGCTTTCAAGACAAATGAGAAATTTCTTGGTAGTTCATTAAGCTTCCCTGAGGGACACTTGGAAAAATTATTCTGTGTGTAAAACACTGCACCAAAACAACACATTTGTCAGGATGGTTAAGTGGCTCTGAGACCTATTGCTAACAACTTGATGTAAATTTGGTAAGGTCCCATTTTTATTTTACCTTTTAATTTTTATTTTCCAAAGAAACTGTTTTTCAGTTGTTTCATCCAAACTAGTATCTACTAACCACACGTGCCTACTAAAATTAAGATAAAAATTAAAAATTCAGTTCCTTGGTAATACTAAGCACATTTCAATAGTCACATGTGGCCAGAAGCTACTACTATATTGGATATCACAGATTATAGAACTTGCTTCACTGCAAAAAGTTCTTTTGAACAGTATTGCTTTATACCTACTATCCACTCTGCTACACAACTTAGTATTTGAAGTTGTAAGTCTCATATTTCTATAAACAGTCAATGTTTTAAAGCATCACGAAAAATCGTCTGTAGGTGTATCTACTCCCTACTTAGTATTTATTCTTCCCAATTTTGCCAAGCATCCCAAGCATCCCAAGATGTTTATATCATCTTCTCATACTATGATAGAAGAAACTAAACGTTGGAAAAATTAAGCTGGAGATGGTATGTGTAGTCAATGGTAGGCACAAAATTGTGATCCATGTCTTTCTGAGTCTGGCATATTTTTCCATTTCACCACATAAGGGAGTACCATGGCAGGGACCTTAATCTAAAAATGCTCATTTTTAAATCTATTCCTTCTCTTCCTGTTTTCACTTCTTATACTCACACACAAGTCTTCATTTAACTTGAATTTACTCAAGATATTTGTAATCTTCAATTCCTGGATGTATTTTAAAACAAATATAACTTTGCAACATATTGGCATCAGCTATTTGAATATTTTTTTAACATTGGTAATTATGTTCATCATAATTCAGTTAGTGGATAGTTACAAAATGTTTACAAAACTTCAAAAATCCCTTGACCATATCTGTAATATACCTGCACATTTGTTCTTTTACACATTTTCCATGGTCATTCAAATGCACTGTACTATTTCACATACCCAAATCTGAATTTTCTACTACATTGTATGTCATATAGGTAATTTAAAAGAATCACTCATTTACCTGATAAACGCAGTCCCTCTCCATGTATTTCTATATGAAGAACAGAATATATTCCACTTATTTTTCCCTGTGCCATCCCCAGCCCATGACCCAAATCAAGCCAAAATAGGTTCTCCAGATTACTGAAACTTTTTGGCCAAAAAGCTTACTTACCCTTTACAGCAAATGAATACTCTGTGTTTTCAGAGAACTTGAACAAAATGAAAATATTTAATATTAACAACACATTGGCTAAAATTTACTCTCATTTTTATGACTCAAGAAATGCTTGAAGATACTGCTTTGACTTGAAATCATTATGAAAATATTTATTATTATTTTATATATGTGTAGAAGTGCTGGTATTAAAAATATTCTATTTACCCCTCAAATATATTTATTTGCATCTTTTCAAATGGCAAGATAAAGCTTTCTATATAAAATAATCATTGAGAAAAATTGGTAAGTCTGGTTTGTGGGTTCATTCTTAATGTTTAGATTTGCATATTTAGGTCAAATTTGTAGCAGAGGCACCACTAGACAGATTAAAAATAAGCTACTGGGGAGGTTACTGACCTGTAAATTGCAGGGCTGAACTTCTTGTCTGACCGGTGTAATAGATTAGGGAAGCACAAACAGCTGCTTGAAAATGAGTACACACAAACTGAACATTAATAAACCCTATGCAATTGCAAAAATATTTTATGAATTTCCTCCACTATGCTTTGCTTAAAATAAAAAAAAAATTGTGGTGATGGCTTACTCAAAATTTCAAGATCTTTTTTTGTTTGTCTTTAAAATACAAGCTATCTTTAACAAAATGTTCTTAAAACTCACCTTAATTAGTTGGTAGTTTTGAACTCCATTTAGTCCTATGTCAGGATCAATGGCTGCTGGGAGGGCATATCGAGAGTTTATAGCCGAATTCTCTGGAATTGATATGTTGATAACTGTTGCTGGGAATAATGGTGAATTATCATTTATGTCTTCTATCATGAAACGTATCTTAACCAGTCTAAATATTTCATCTGGCAAAACGGCAACCTCCACTTCATAAAAGCAACGGGCATCCATCAAGATACCGGCACATAATTTTTCACGATCAATACGAGCTCCAGTAGTAAAGATCTCACCAGTACCCTCTTCAATTCGAATCAGTGGCACATCTCCGGTCTTGTACACTAGCTTGAACTGCATAGGAGTTGTTAAGGACTTGTCTGGAATTAGCGACAAGTTGAGGTCTTTCAGCAAGTCGCCTATCAGGACGTTTTCTGGCATTTCTTCCCGGATGGTATAGTTTTTCTCCTGGGCGCCAGACTGAAACACGACGCATGCTAACAGGACCGCAAATATGTACGTCCCGGACAACAAGTCCATACCAGGCACAATTGTGATAGTTCTTTGTATCAACTCACAGAAAACTGTCAAATAGAAAAGAAAAAAAGAAAAGAAAAAGAAGAGAAGAGAAAGAGGAAGAGAAAGAGGAAGAAGAAATTATTAAAGCCAATGATTAAATATTAATTAAATGCTCAGTTTTAAAGCAAAATCATTAAATGAGAATACTAGCACTATAAACACTGTTAAATAAATTAATAAATTTGTTTTGAATTTAATATTAGTTTTTTCATTAAGATGAAAGATAAACAAGATACCTGCAGTAATTAAGTGACCCAGAGTATTTATAAAAGTGTTCACCATTGATAAAATATACAAAAGTTAGTATTATTATATACCAAGATAGTTAAAGGTAATAAAAGTAATTTAAAATAATTCAACAGCTAAGAAAAAGTAAAGGAACATTGGTTACCAATCACAAAAAATATTATTCTCTGCTATAATATAGCTTTCAAATGCAATTCTCCTATTGGTAATGAATGTTTTAACAATATTCCATCTGTTCGTCAAAATGTAAAAATCAGTCTAGATAAAAGGAGACAAAGAATCATGATGTATGAGGGATTTACAAAGTTAGGATTAATGTAAAAAAGCCCCCTGAGAGAGAAGGTTTGGAGTGACAAATGCCCAAACATGTGAACAACTATCATGTGAAAAGGGGATTAAAGTTTTCTTTGAATGAGAAGAATAAGAACAGATATAAATCACAGGAGGCAACTTTCAGATCAACATTAACAACTGCCTGTTAAGCACTCTGGGGGGGAAACACTGGTTTTCAAGAGATAGTGAATTCCCTTTCTTTGGAGGTACTGATATTGAAGTTGGATCACCAGTTTAGATCTACATATTAATGATTTAGGAGACAACATCCAAACATTCAATGGGAGAGCTAAAGCAGAAGACATCCCAACTTTGAGAATTTATGTTTATGCATTGCAGAGAGTAGTTTTCATATGAAAATGGATTTTCACATCTATAAACTGACGTGAGGATCACCCAACTACAAGAAACAGCCCAACTAAAGTTTAAAAATTAAAAAGGCATTTTAACACCCTTTACTGAGTTAAAATAGCAGGTCAAAAAACAATGTCTTTGGCTGATTTTTCCCCTGTGCTTATAATTTTCACTCACTGAAATCTGCTTAATTATTTCAGTTCTCTTGTCATTCTGATAATATTCAATGAGAAATTTTATTGCTTATAACTTGCAAATTTTTCTTCAATTTCCTTTATTAATTCTCAGTTCTTATTCTCCATTTGTCTGATGTAGTATAAATTTGATATATTAAATATATTTTAATTATCTAGTGAAATGAAACATTTTGATGTGCTTCTGCACATTATTTGTAGGTAATATATGATATCAACACAAAGTGAAATTTGTATCACACTGCACTAAACCCATCAGATGTTACATTTTTAAAATTAAATAGGAATTAATGCAACTATCAATGCATTCAGAAGTTTTAAAGGATCAGCTGACAGATAGTCACTTAAAAATCCATTACAGAAAACTATTAATGCACATAGGTATCTAATTAAGGAAGTCCTTAATATTTATTGGTGATCAATAACAGTAGCAAAATTTTAGTAATGGTTCTATAAAAACAAAAGCATTCATGAAATGATATAAAAATAGGAAAACTTATGAAATGATGTAAATAAATATCCATAGTGTTACAGATATAATGGGTTCATTATACCAAACAATTTATTATATTAAATGAGTTTCCCATTGTACAGCTGTGCATCAGCATTTTTAAAAACGTGTGTGGACGAGACAGAAGATACAAAAGTAGGGGAAAAAAATTGTTATTTGCAGTAAGTAATAGAATAAATCCATTTGTTGCAACAACTGAAATGGTTTGGGTTATGAATAGAACCAAGAAATAAACTAGATAAACTTGAAACATTTCATTTTATAAATTCTTATCATATAATTTAAAAATTATATATTATGGTCCAATCACTTCCCTTTGTTGAGCAGTTGGTACCATTTATAAAACATTTTAAGTGAACAATGCTAATGCTGAAAACATTTTCTATCCTAGTAAACAACAAAAAGACTATTGCCTGTGATATTTTTAGCATCATTTGCTCAGTAATGAGCATTGGGATTACATAATATAGAAACCTTCTCAAGATTCATTCCCTTGATACTTACTGTGAGTTAATAAGCATACATATACATGTGTCCTGTACATTGTAAATCTAGGACATTGTAAAAATTGAATGTCTATGTGTGTGATTTTATAAATACCATGAAAACATAAGCAGAAATAAAAATGGGACAGTGACAACTGGAATTAAAACTACCACTCTATTCTTATCTTACCCTTAGGTATTATACATTATTACAACTGGCAGAAGACTACTAAAGATCATTTATAAAAACATTGCATGCATGTTGCAATATCTCTACATAAGAGTAGAAATTAAGAAAGTGACCTAATTCCAAGCAGTCCCCCTCTCCCAATCCATTCTAAATCTATTCTACTCTACCCTTTAATAACATCAAATGAAATATCAAAATATATTTCATCACTTGAAATTCTTTCAGAGGTTCAAAAGCCAGGAAAAGTTTGGGGAAAAAATACAATGTCATTTCTATAATTTAAGCAAATATACATATTGCAAACCTAGAAGGAATATCTACCCTCTAGTAGAAATTATTTTCATGAAGGTTAGTCACTTATTCAACAAGTATTTAGGAAGCAAATTTTGTGTGCCAGGAACTATTCTAGACACTGAGAATAAATCACTGAACATAACAGGAAAAAGTCCTTGCCCTCACAGTGTTTATATTTGATAATATAAATATTCTAGAATTTCTTTAATTCAGTGTTCAACCAATGTATAACAAACTCAACTCTGCCTCTAACAAGATGTGAACATGCATTATTAATAACCCCAATCTCCGGATTTCAGCTCCACTTGAAAATGTATGGTTATCTTTAAATTTAAAAAGGTTTCCCTTTTAAATTCTGATATTAATTCTTTGGATGACCAATATAGAAATGTAGCTACTAAATTAGGATATAAAGAATCACTGCTTAGTGAATTTAACTCAGATATCCAGGGAAAATATTCCTATGCACATACCTTTACTTGGCTTGAATTTTCTCTCACATGAACAAATAATAAGATAACCTTAAATTTCCTTAGCATTCTCCCACATCCCAGTCTTACTATGGTCCAAGGTAAATTTGGGAATTGATAAAGAAAGTACAATGAAAGCAGACAGAGAGAATTAAGATTTTCTACAAGTTTCAGTAGTATCAGTGCTATTAAGTGATATTTTTTATAGGTAATACATGGTGGTTGGGTAGGCAACAGTCATAGAAGGAAAGAATCATGACCAGAGAAATCAAAAACAGAAACAAAATAATCAAACTTTCAAGATATAAAAAGCATGAATGCAAGTTCATTTTATAGTTTCTGAGCAATTTAATCTAAAAAGGTAACTTAGGGAGGGGAACCAAGTCTCCGCTATAAGCAGTTCTAGAGATTTCAGACTCGATATTCAAACGGTTTATCAAAATTCCAAGGCATAATTTCCCTGATATATTTGTTACATTTTGCTTCATTACAGTTCTGTGTTTAATTTGTGATATACTTAAACTAATTCTATATGAATGAGTGGCCAAAATACTACAATAACAAATTGTTAAAAATAATACATACTTAGGTATTAACATGAAAATAAGAAATATCTATGTTACTCATGATCCTAACTCTATTTAGTTAGCTACCATCATTCTAATTACTTGAATGTCTCCTGAAATAAAAAATGTGTAATTAAACAACCAGCATGTGCTACATTGTTACTTGTATGTTCTTGTTCTCACGCATAATCAAAGTTTCTTTTGCAGACTGGGGAAACAGTAAGGCAGTTCTTAAGGTTGACTGGAAGAAATCTAGGACACTGCAAGAAAAGTAACCACATCTGGAGAAAGACAAAGTGCAGCAGCTGATAAATTCAATTACTTTCGAAGGGACTGACCACAATGAGTAGAGTGGTGTAGGTGCATTCGCAGTCCTTTTTGGCACAACTGTTTTCTCTGAATTCTGAAACTTGAAATGTCAAAATGAAAGACTTAATAAGGTTCTTTAATTCTATACAACTGGTATTTTTAAATAAATTTTATTCCACAAACTTTTGTACTGGTCTAATTTTCACATTTGGGTCTAATCTTCTCCAAGAAGTGTATTCTATCAATGTTGCTTCATTTTCTAAAATGTTTATGTTTTTGTTAATTCATTCTAATACTTCACAACAGTTAGTGCAGTGTTCTGTAACAGAGGTTCAAACTGTTAATAATCAATGTGCAAACAGAACTTATAAGACAAGTTATGAGAGTTGCTCTTTTATATTAATTTTCTGGATTTTTTATATGATTTAGGGAGCATTTGCAAAATAGCTTTATAGATTAATCAGGCAAGAAACATATTTTGTATGGCAAAAAAATAAAGCTTATCCACCATCACATATCCTTTTGTCACCTTGGGGTGAATTTAATCATGATTATTTCAGTATCTATTATTTTAATATATTTGGTCCATAAGTATCATATTATCATAATAAATAAATCTTAGATTCACCAAGGTTTGAAGGATAATTTCCATTTGATGTAGCATTTTAATTGCTATAAATGATTCTGAATCCATTATTTAAGTTAATCTTTATAACAATTATGTGGTATATATAAATATCTCTAGGCATTAATTTATATATTAAATGTTTATATCAAATAGGCATTAATTTTTCACACTCTAAATCCTCCACATGATCATGTTTTAAGAAGGCAAATAAATGGGATAAATCCATGAATTCCCTGGGAATTTGTTGAATAGCATATTTTGATTCTTAGATGTGTAAGGATAAGTGATTAGTTTTATTAATTCCTATTCCATGAATTAATAAAACAATATAAGTCTATCCAGAAAAAATAAGTGATGACATCTTTTTTATTTATGTCACTTGTGAATTATCAAAATCATGATGCAATAAAACTGATAGTTAAAAG